ATTTGGGGGTGGCAGCGGAGGATGGAAGCTTGATGATGATGATGAGGCAGAGTGACAAGGTAGATAGGGGGTAGGGGGAGGATGAGTGAAAGGGCGGGGAACCAGAAGATGGAGGCGATTGGCAGAACCATGATGAGGAAGATGAGGGGAGAACGCCTTGAGAAGGAAGAGGAAAGCGTGGATGCAACACATCAGAAGGAACATACAACCGGAGGATTGGCTCCTTCTCGCCCCTCTTCCCCCGTCCTCCCTTCTTGTCCCTCGTCTCCTTCACGAAGAAGGACGTCGGCGACGACGCCCAGACTTCCCCTGGGGTGGTGCGTCCTAGTCATAATGTCGAGGTGAATCCAGGCACCGAAAGTCCACGACCACGACGCCGCCCCCCACCTCACTCATCGCGTTTCCTCCCTTTCCCCCTTCTCCTCTTCTCCTCCTGCCCTTTCTCCTCGGGGAGGAGAGGGGGACGGATGAGGAGGAGGAGGAGAAAGAGGAGGTTGACCGCACACGGTTTCTAGACAGACGTGGAGACAGGATCAACACAGCTATCGATGGAGCTCAGCCTGCCTCGGAGTGGACAGCAGTCAAGAAGCTGCTTTTGTGTGGGGGGAGGCCAGCTCGGCCTAAGCAGGGGACCCCACCACTTCCAATGATCAGGACGCCACAAGGTCAGGTTTTGCGGGAGGAAGGCGACATCGTTGACCACATCCAGCAGCATTTCTCGGACGTTGAGATGGGCAAAGCGGCCCAACCACAGGCCTTGGTCGAGGATTATAACCAAATGTTGCCCCTCCTGGACCCTGATTTCCTTCGAGACATCGATGTGGCCCCCACGATTTATGATGTTGAGGCGGGCCTCGCGTGGCTGAAAACTGGACGGGTCCCAAGGACCGATGGTTTTCGCTCAGAGTATGGCAAGACTGCCTCCAAAGATGTGGCGCGGCTTGTGACCCCTCTGCTGGTCAAGACCGCCATGGCAGCACGAGAACCGTTCGCCTTCAAATCGGCCCGCCTGGGCACTTATCCCAAGGGACCAGGAGCTTTCACTCTAGCTGCTTCACGGCGGAGCATTCTGGTCTCGCCGGTTATAACTAATATCTGCCATAAACACTTGAGGGATCTTGCCATGGACTAGCTTTATGCTTCTGTGCTTTTGGTGCAGATGGGGGGGATTCCAGGACGAGGATGTGATATTGCTGTTATCACTTCTCGGCTGCTGATTCAGCTTTCGGAGCTCCACTGGCTTTCGGCCAGGGCTCTTCTTCTGGACCTCAAAAACGCGTTTTACACCACCTTCAGACAACTGGTGCTGTCGCTACCACAAGATAGCGAAGATGTTGAATATGGGCTCTTACATATGGATCTGCCCCCCTCCGATTCGAAGGGCTCAAGACCCAACTGGCTACAAAGCCGATGTTCGAGGACAGAGTTACATCCGAACATCTCCTTGCTCTCACTAAGGAGAGCCACAGGGTGGGCATTTTGGAGAGTTCCTCTGCGTCTGACTACACTGTGCCTCGCAGGGTCACGCGCCCTGGGGCAGTTTTTTCCCACGGACATTTTCAATGTTGTTTTCCAGGGGGTCCACGCAGATATGAATCAAGAGCTCCACGATGTTTATGATTTCCGCGCCTTCTTTGGAACGCCCACAGGGGACTTGTACCTGGCCAGAGAGGAGCAACTCGACACCAGAGACTGGGGTTCCTCCTTCGTGGATGATCTCACCCAGCCCTTTGTCACAGCAGAGGCTGGTTTGCTCATGTCTACAGTCCAGCGTGTGCTGGACGCAGTGTTTCGGGCCTGTTGCATACGAGGTCTAATTCCAAACGCTGCCAACACAGTTGTTGATTAAACTTGTCGGGAGAAGGATCAATGGCAGGCTCGGCTTGATAAAAATGGAGATCCCCATCTCCAAGTACAGTTGGGCCACTTGGGATTTTCCAGCCAAGATTGTCAGTGACCATCGAATGCTCGGCCCCTTCCTTTCTCCTACCAACAGCATGGCCACAGAGGTGGTTGCCCGTTGTCACGGTGCTAAGTCCGCCCTTGCCCCCATTTGGAAGGTCATTGGACCCAGGGTCATGCTCAGCATCCGTAAAAAAGGTGTTGTATGCTGAGTGTCTAGCTAGCTCCGTCTTGCTTTACAACGCTGCTACCTGGCTCGCGCTTCCACTGAATTTGTGGAAACAAAAAGGTTCGGATTACGCACGAGCAGGTTTACCGTGCGGCACTGCATTTTTCTGAGGAGAAAGCCACCTATTTTGAAGTTTCGGGCAAGGCTCCCCGACTCCCCATTGCTGTTGTGCTGTCGGTGGCTCGCTTAAGGCTTCTTGCGCGGCTCATGGCCGGTTGTCCAGGCATTCTCTGTGTTTGTTCGAAGTATCTGTGTGAGCCGGTTAGCGGCTGGATGGCACTCATTGAAGCTGATTTCGTTTGGTGCACGTCCTTCCTCGATCCCAGCAAACGACCGCAGGATGCCATTGTGCCCAGCTGGATCCGGATTATTGAGGACAGCCCCAAGGCGTTTCGCTCGTCCCTGAAGACAGTTGCTAGCAAGGCAGTTCGATTTTGGAATGATCAGTTCCACCTTGAAGCGTGGAACAAGAGGTGCAGACAACACTTGAAGGGGTCCCCGCTCGAGAAACAGTATGGGCCTCCCCCCGCCGCTAAATGTCTCCACCGCCCCGCTGTGTTTGTCACAGAACGTGATTATCATGTTCACCTGGGAAAGTTTCATGCCCCCCACAGTGCCCCCAATAATTTTGCGATCGGAACTTGCTGCCAGATCTGCTGCAACAAATGTCATCCTCCTGGGAGACTTCACAAACATATTGCAAGAGTGTTTCCCTGCCGACAGGCTTGGTTTTTCTCTCAGGACGTTGTCTCGGGGCTCAGGCTGACGTTGAGGCCAATCTGGATTTGATTCGCTCACAGGCTGCAGCGAATCGCTAGTCTGGCAGACAAGACCATCATGCTGCTGACCCCCCGAGGCGTTTCTTTGGTCCCCCCGTCGCCCTACCAGGGCAAGGTCAGCAGCACCCACAGGCCGACGCGCCAGAAGAGGCGCCACCACCTCCACCGCCCCCAGTGTTCAGCCCGCTGAGGGCGCCGTGCCGACCACATACGTACATTTTACATTTGTTTGCAGGCCTCAGACGACATGGCGACTTACAACTGCAGGTGGAGTTGGCGCTTACGCGCTTTCATGCCAATATTATTGTTCTCTCTATTGGTGTAATTCATCACCCTGCTTGGGGGGACTTAACTAATGATAATTCTGTGTTAATGTGGATCTGATTGGCCAACTCAGGCCGAGTCGCAGGAGTCCTGGCAGGACCCACCTGTGAAACTTGGTCTATTGCGCGCTTTTGGGAACCAGTCCAAAGGGCGGGGGGGCTGCGAGCTCGTCCACCTAGGCCCTTGAGGCTTGCCTCACAGCCTTGGGGGCTTCCTCGCGCTTCTGAGCGCGAATCACAACAACTCTCCCTCGGCAGCAGGTTGATGAGAACTACATTTGAATTTGCTGTAGTCTGCTGGAGGCTGCCCATCCCCGAAGTCGTGGAGCACCCTGCGGGGCCTTGGAGTCCTCATGAGGCCCTGGGTTCCTGGTATCTCGATCTCACCAAAGATCTCCTACGACAGCCGGGAGACGAGAAGCACCTCATCCACCAATGTGCTTTCGGGCCCCCCTCGCGCAAGCCCACCTGTCTCATGGGGGTTCACAGTGGGGCTCTTCGAGATGCTCTTCAGGCCAGGCCACAAGGGGTCCTGTGTAGCCACCCTAGGGGGCACATCGTTCTGGGAGGGGTGGACGCGCAAGGGATCTGGAACACGGCACATGCCAAAGTGTATCCCAAAAAGTTGTGTGAGATATTCGGGAGGGCGTTTGTCCAGGAGGCCTGGATTAAGTTTCCTTGGCTGTTTGAACCCCCCCCGCCGCCGCTACCTACTGCTCCTGCTCCGACTGCGCCGACGCGACTGTTACGATTCAAGCAACCGAAACCACAGAGTGCGGGTACACATGCCGAGGTGCCACGACAAGCAGGATGGAATCCACAGTTTGTACCGACGCATACACAACACGTGTGGACATATGGTGACGAGCTATGATTACAACAGCAATACAACCTCGACGAATTGTGTGACGAGTGGTTACCACCGTCGCTACGCAGATACTACGTGCCCTTGGACCCTTACATGGACACGCAGATGATTGGCATGGATCGCATGCGACAAAAACGGCCGGACAGAGATGATGCAGGGCAGAGCTAAGCTAGTGCATTATCTAGAGTATTGCTCCACCCTCTCACCTGATGTCTCGCCTATCTCAAACAACTTTGTTAAGTCCTCGTGGGCGCCTCACGAGTGCCAGTGCCACGTGCAGTGACCCGGGATAGGGCGAAGGGCTGGGTCATGAAGGAGACGCCGCGCCCCCCCTGGCGCCGCTAGTGTACGCTCACTTTAAAAAGTAGTAGTTGCCCAGTGCAGTGTACTAGTGCACGCTGCTCGACATTGTCAGTCGCCCGTGCCCCTGGGGGTGAAGTCGCCTTTCCCAAATTGTATAACCTATGTCCTTAATATTTCTTGCAGTGTGCGCCCACTTTCAAAGGCAGTAACCCGCGGTGCAAAGCAGGATCGGGGAAGGGGAGGGGTGCACTTGGGAGAGGGATTGGTCCACTTCTCGTGTCTGCCACTTCTCACCTGCCCTGATAGCCCTCTGTTCAGTCTTGTGCTGCCTGTATGGGCCAGCACTTGGCTCGAGGTTTCTCTCTGTTGCTGCTGGCTGCTGGCTCTGCTGCCGCCGCCGCTCTCTCTCCCCATCCACTTTGTTTTGCCGTCCACCCTCAGTGGTCGGGCTTCCACTCTCTGCCCTAAAGCCGTGAACGAAAGAACGAACGAACGAGAAAGAGGAGAAAGAGGAGGAGGAGGAGGAGGAGGAGGTGGAGGTGGAGGTGGAGGAGGAGGAGGAGGGGGAGGACGACGACGACGAGGGGCCCGCGAAGGCCCGTGGGCAGAGCCCCCAGCCTCAGCCGCCACCGCGACAACGTCGCTGGCCTGGCCGCACGCGCCTCCCCCCTGGCCGCGCTTCGCAGGTGGCTCGGCAGTGGGGAGGGGACGGAAGCGCAGCTGCCGCGGGAGAGGAGGGGGAAGGCTGGAGAGGAGGGGGGGGATCGGGTCGAGCGTGGGGGACGGGGGGGGGGAGGAGGAGGGAAAAGGGGGGTGCTCCAAGGGGAAGGGATGAGGGGGAACAGGGAGGAGGCGGAAGGTAGTCGAGGACGTGCAAACATGGATGGCGGCGAGCGCATCGTCGACGCCGGCGGGTCTCGTTGCCGCGCAGCAGGCTGCACTGTCCGTCCTCCTCTTTCGGGGGAGGCCGACTTCCCCGATCGCCGATGCGTGGGCCCGGCGCTCGCGCGCCAGACCCACGGGATCCGCATCCCCACGTTGGCGCGCGCCCGGTCGGAGGGGGCCACAGCCACGGCCGCCCTCGGGCCTCGGGGCCGCCCAGCGAGGTGCGCTCGCGGACGGCGCGCGGCGCCCCTCCGCCGGGGCGTCTCGCGCCGCGGAGTGCTGCGCCGCCGCCGCGGGCGCGCGGCCCGTCGGGCGGCCCGAGGCGGCCGCGGCCTCGCTCGCGGCGCGGGCGGGCGGCGCGCCGGCGGCGCGCGGCCCGCCGCCGGGGCTGTTCCGGAGCGGCGTGTGCGCGGCGGCCGCGCTCAGGCGCGGCGGGGTGCCTCCCTCTCGGGGTCTTGCCTCTTCGAGGTGCTCCTGCCTTCGGCCGGGCCTGTCCCTCTACAGGGGGAGTTCGGTCGAACAGTAAGAAATATTCAAAACATAGTCAAAAGATCCCCAGCAATACTCAAAACAATTGTCCCCAAACTATTTCTAAACGATTTTTGAATATCCCCCCTGTAGAGGGACAGGCCCGACTTAACTCCAGCCTCGGTGTGTTCCCGCCTCCCTCCCGGAGGTCCGCCCCGCCTGCCCGAGGTCCTCCTTTTCTCCCCCCGGGGCGCGCTCCCCGGACATCTCGGCCTCGCTGCCCCGCTCCTCTTCCTGCTCCTCCTCCTCTTCCTCTTCCTCCTCCTCCTTCGAGCTTGTTCGGACGCCGCCTTCCCCTCCCGGTGTCAGTCTACCCTGGAGGGGGGTTGATCAAACTAAGTAGCCTGTCGTACTATGGGGGAGGCGAACCGACAGACCCCTCAAGGGGCGGGCGAACCCCAGGAGGTCTTCAGTTTTGAACCCTCCCTGTTTCTCTCAGCAGGGAACGAACTCGCCCCTCCTCCTTCTGACCCTCCTTCTCCTCCTCCTCCTCCCGTGCTCCCTCCCTCCTTCTCCTCCTCCTTCTCCTCCTCATCGTCACCCGCCGAGTTAGCTGTACGGATATCGAGGGAGGGACTGGTGGCTGCCGGGGGGGTTCCACAGGGTGGAGGGGAGGTCTGCGCCTGCCTCGGCGGTGACCGTGCAACAAGGTGGTAAGATGTTCTCCCGCCCACCTCAATTCACCACCCTCTTCTCATAGTTCAGGCGAGTGGCAGTTGAAGGTTGGACGTGAAATCACGCGACAGTTGGCGTCAGAGAGGCGGCTGACAACGAGTGGGCTGCGGCTTGACTTGCGCAAGAGGGCGGCAGTGAGCTGTGAGATAGGCTAGGGGAGGCTTCAAGAGTGGGAGTTGTGGTGCGATCGTGCGATCGCGCAGCAGTTGGCTGTTGCGTGGCTTGATGTCCGCGGCCGCCGTGGCTAACGCCATGGCGGCCGGCGGCGGTTGCTCCTCCCCTTCACCGTGAAATATCCACCCCCTCTCATGGTTACAGCGTGTGGCTGTGAGGTTGAGAGTTCAATCACGTGGCAGTGCGGCAGTGCGGCGCGAGAGAGGCGCGAAATGCGGAAGAGGTAGGCGGTAGTGAGCGGCGAGGTAGACTAGGGGTTGCTTCAAAGAGTAGGAGCTGTGGCGCCATCACGCAGCAGTTGGCTGATCCGTTGCTCTGTGTCCGCGACGGCCGTGGCCAACACCATGGCAGCCTGCGGCGGTTGCTTCTTCCCTACCCCTATCCGTAATATCTTTGTCCCGCCTAATTCCGCCACGAAAAAGAGAAGGGCGGGGAAGGTTAGTGGGGTAAGTGGCGGGGGAGGCTGCTAAAGGCAGGTGGACCCAGGAGTGAGTGAAGGTTGGTTGAGGGCTCTCAGGACTGAGTGGACAGTTGGCTCTTCGTGTTGTCGCCTCCGAGGCCTCAGCAGTGTTGATGATGAGGGCCACCACCAAGGAGGCGCATGAGAGAGCTCTGTCCACTGGTCTTTTGGAAGTCGGTGGGCCCACCCAGTTGGCCGCATTGTGGTGTTTACTTCTCAGAGCGATCAGCTCATGCTCGCTGGATACTGTAGCATGCGTGGGTTAGAACAATTCGGTGGTTGGGAGCCGTGTACTTCCGTGGACTCACTAGCATAGCGTTATCCCCGGTGAATGACACAGCGGTTTTGGGAGCCTGGTGTCACTGTGGACCCACTGCACAGTATAGCAGTTGTAGGTGTAGCCGCCGTCTTGGTGTCTGTGAACGTCGAGTAAACCTTTGCGGGTGGGATTGCCACGGCGGGTTTTGAAACTCTTGTGTTACCAGGGGCCCAATGTCTTCGCGCCGCTCGAGGTCGTAGCCGTCGCCTTGTGCCAGGGTGGAGTGTTGCTGTCGCTGCGGTAGTGTATCAGAGTGGTCCGGCTGCTGCTGCTGTCGTAACAGCAAGTGCGGTGGTTTGGCTTACGAGTAGTGCCAAGGTCAGGTGTAAGGTGAGGGAGAATGGCGCCGTTAGCTGTCAGAAACAAACTTGGGTGGTTTGAGCTGTCGGTCGCAGGGAGCAACATTGGTGAAGGGAGGAGGTGATGCACTGGCAGGCCTCCGTGCGGCAGATCCCGTCTCGGCATGAGGGCGTTCGTTTCTTAGCCGTTGGTTGCGAGGAGTGTCCGGTGGGTTGTGCATGTTGGTCTCTAGGTGGAGGGTCCGTGCCACGGGCCTTGACCGTTGCATTGGGCTGGGCGTCGTACTGTCATCGATCATGCTGTCGGCGGGTTCGGTGTGGGTCTGTCCGCATGTAGCGCTTTTCCCAGTTGGTCAGGCTGGTGGCGGTCGCTTGATGGGCTGGTAGGGGCGGTTGCACCCGCTCTGTTGGTACAGCTCATGCGGTCATAGCTGTGGTCGTGTTCTACCTCGTTGTTTTCTTGGCGAGCGTGGCGTCGGAGCAACGTATTGGATGTCGTGTATCGAATCAGTCGACCTCGTTGCCCTTTGGCATGAAACTGTCGGCGATCATGATCTGAGGCTTGAGGCGGCGTGGTTGCGGCATTTCTTCCAACGGTGGTGTGAGGAAGGGGCATTGTTCAAGTAGTAATGGCCGCAAGGTGCTGGTGTATCGCTCTTCTGTCCATCGTGAGTGCTAGCCCTCCAGTGAGGAGGCCGGCGGTAGGGATGATGGCGTGATTGCGATTGCTGTTCGCCTTGTCAGTGTGGTGACTGTCTTGCTGAGTGGTAGCTTGTTGAGAGACCCAGGTGGGCTGTCAATTGGTTTTCCCTGTGTGGGGCTGGCACGTCTGGGAACGTCTTGGGATCTTGGGGTCGGTAGGAGGGGTCGGGGCCGTGGTCCCCGTGTGTCGTCTTTGACGTCTTGGTCGCTTGGTCACCCGTTTGAACTGCAGCAGGTAGTTGATGTGGTGAATCGTTTCTCTTGCGACGCCTTTCTGGGATGCCGTCGTTGCAAGTGGGGCTGATGATCAATCCGGAGTGCACCGTTCGCTGATTTTGATGTAGCCGGCGCCGATCTCATCGCAGTCGCGTTGCGCGTGGTCGTTCGGAGCAGTCAGCTCTTTGAGGTCGTCTGTGGTTCGGTTTGCCATTATGCTGCACATTCGGTGGATTATGTACTTACTGCGTTAGCGCACTCTGGCCTGCAGTCATGATGAATGGGGCAGGTGGCTCGTTGGTCGGATTGCCCTGATTGCTCAGCAGTGCGCCAATGAAGTAGTCGATGATGTAATCATGCTCGCGTCGGTATTGTCGATAAGGGTCACGGGATTGGTGGTACATGGCGTCAGTGGTTGATGGTGTTGGCCAATTTTTGTCCTTGATGATACTGCGCGTGTGTATTTTGAAAAGTGGAGTGTCGGTGTCGTAGTGGATGTTGATGATGGTCTCGACCAGCCAGTTGATCGCACCATGTTGGATGTCCGCTAGCATTGCTCCAGTGCTGATTCCAATGGGTTGGCTCCTCGACTGGTGCTTGGGCCCCTTCGCATAATGTATTGAGTCATGCCTACTCTGGCCTTGGGCTTGATCACGGGCCTGCTTGGGTCTTCGGAGTGACTCCGTTTCTGTCGTTAGTGCTTGGGCCTAAGTGCCTGTCGTCAGCTAGTTGGTTCTGGATGTCGGGTTGTGGCGTGGGGGTGGTCACGCCAGATTTCGTTGTCTCTTCGTATCTGGGCGTGGGTGGTTTGGCGGGCACGTCTTGGAATCGTTGGTTGGCAGGGGGCTGTGCCTTCCAGCGGTTGTCTCTGGGCGCGTTTGCTGCCTGGGTGGTCGCATCCGTCATCGTCGAGTTGGCGGGTGCCGAGGTTGTGTCGCCTGCGTTTTGATTGGGCTGATGGGTGGCGTCATCGTGGAGTTGGTTGTGGCTGTTGGTTGTGGCTGTTGGTTGTGCTCGATCATCTGCTATGAGGGTGATCAGGTTTCCGATGTTCTGCATTCTCTGGTCTGTCTGCTCTGTGGGTTCTGGGGCCCCTTTGTGTCGGGATTGGTTGCGTGATGACTGGGTGGTCGGTCGGTCACGTGGTCTTGCATATTTCTGTCATCGGGGTTCTGCGCCGTTGGCGGTGCCACTGCCGTGTGTATCTCGTTTGTGACCCGCATGATGCCTTCGGGATGTATCGAATGTTCGGGCTGTGTCTTCATGATGCTGTTGATGCAGCCAGCGACCTCCGGGTTGCCTTCGACGTAATCGCAGAGTGTTGTCCACGTTCATGCCCGTGATGCTGTTCTTGAGAAAACGTTGCTGTTGCCGCGGCCCCGCGCCGGTGTTGGCGCGCAGCGGCACGACAATGGAGCAAATCGATGCTACCTGGGGGCGGGCCCCCCAACAGCCACCTCCTCCGCCTCCTCCTCCACAGACTCCTCTGTGCCCTCCTGTCCCTCCTCAGCCACCACTTCCTTGCCCTCGCCCTCGTCCTCCGCCGCCTCCTCCTTTTGTATTACCCCGGCATCTGCAGGCTTATCCCCGGCGTCTGCCGGTTGCTGCTTCCGCCGCCTCCGCCCCTGCTCCCTCCTGGTGGGATCCGCCTGTGCGGGTGCCCCCACTCCTGGTGGGATCCGCCTGTGCGGGTGCCCCCACCCCTCCTCGAGCTCTTCTTCCTCCTCCTCCTCCTCCTCCTCCTCCTCCGGCATCTGCAGGCTTATCCCCGGCGTCTGCCGGTTACTGCTTCCGCCGCCTCCGCCCCTGCTCCCTCCTGGTGGGATCCGCCTGTGCGGGTGCCCCCACCCCTCCTCGACCTCTTCTTCCTCCTCCTCCTCCTCCTCCTCCTCCTCCTCCTCCTCCGGCATCTGCAGGCTTATCCCCGGCGTCTGCCGGTTGCTGCTTCCGCCGCCTCCGCCCCTGCTCCTTCCTGGTGGGATCCGCCTGTGCGGGTGCCCCCACCCCTCCTCGACCTCTTCTTCCTCCTCCTCCTCCTCCTCCTCCCTCTGCTCTGCCGCGTCGAGCTGTCTCTTGTAGGTGCCGTCGTCCTGGTTGTACCTGGCAATGTGCATGTCCAGGGCCGAGATATCGACTCATATTGTGCACGCTGGCGGCGATGGTGTTATTGGTTTAGGCGGTGGCGGTGGCGGTGTCCCGTACGGATGCTAGCGTGTCCGTGTTGTAGCAGAAAAGTTGGTTGTGTATGTGTGCCGTTCAGACTCGCGCATCCCGGGACGATGATCGTTCCAAGGGTACAGTCTCACCATTCGTGTGTTTGTCGTGGTAGTGGGCGTCTTACCGGTGTTACCTAATTTGATTGGGGCTACCCTTGTGGGTGGGACCGTGGTGATGTCGATCTCTCGCTGTACTTCGACGTCAGCTGGCTCGTGCTACTCCGGGTCACCAAGTGGCGGCCATTGTGGGTTGTTGTTGGTCGGCGGGCCAATGTGGAACTCGCATCGTGTGTCGAACTCTCCCGTGGTGATGGCTGTGACCCAAACTCGGTTGGGGCGTTCTTGAGGTAGTCGAGATCGTGACCTCGGCCGTTGGGGTCGTCTTTGTGGGCGTGTAAGATGGCCTGCGTCTTCGGTATTAGGTGGAGGTTATTGATGCCGAAGACCAGGTCATCGTTGTGTGGGTGGATAGCTCGGGCTCATCTGGTGATGAGGACGTCTGTCAGCTCGAGCAGTAGTCGCACTTTCTCGCTGTCTTCTGTGACGTTGCCATACTCGTTGGTTGCGTGCAGGATGCAGTCCTGGACGTCGTAGGCGTTCTTGTAGTACATCTTGGATTGCTTGGCCTTCCTCTCGGCGTCTTCGAAGTCTGCCTCATTGTAGACCTGTGTAGGCAAGATCTTATGGATATGAGATGGGTCGGTCAGTTCTTGTCCATCTAGATACGCTCCTTGGCTCTTTCCCAGGGTCGGTGCAGCGATGACGGCTCCCTTCTCAACCTCGTCCTTGTTGTTGCCGTCGGGGTTGTTCTTGCGCCACATTGTTGTGCAGTAGTTCGGCAAGTGAGTCGGCATTGCTGACCAATGTCCCGTTATGTCGTCCGTGTCGATAGTTGTGCGATTTCCCCGCAAGACCATTCCATGTGTGTCGATCGTGTTGCTGTGACTGTCGTGCTTCCATCGCGGGCTGGTTGTACCCAAATATGCCAGCGTGTAATGGTGCTTGTGCAGCGTCTTCATCTATCCCAGTGCCGTGCTGACACGCGTGAATACTAGTCCAAGCTCACGTGCCGTGTAGGTGTATTCTTGCGTGAGGGTTGTTGAGTTGAGGTCGTACTGTGACTTCTCGGGTACTCGGGTAGTTGGAGCCGCGGAGGATGGATCAAGCTTGGCGTCGGTTGGTGGCTGGTAGTCGAGGACCATCCCCCCTTCGTAACTGTTTCTCGGGCGGTGCGTCTGGTGTTGTATTCTCCTCGCCATGCGCCTCGTGCTGAGCAACACATTGAGCGTTTTAAGAGGTGTAGTCGATGTGTCCAGTTGTGATCCTCGCGCGTCTGCGTGGGCCGCGATTCTGATATTCGGCAGTCAGTTGAACACCCTCTAGTCGATTGCGTCGTCGCATGGGTCGAATGTGTTCCCTCCTCCCTCGTCGAGGTCCTCCCCGCCTCCTCGAGGGCCTCCCGGGCGCCCTCCCTGGCCAACTCGGCCTCGCTGTCACGCTCCTCTTCTTCCTCCTCCTCCTCCTCCTCCTCCTCCTCCTCTGGTTCGTATCCTGCTCCTTCTCCAGCCTTATTGCCCCCCTCCTCCCGCAACCGCCACGTAACTGGTGTGGTAGCCAGGAGCCTCCAAGGAAACCTCCCTCTCTGTTCTCGTCCTCCCTCCCTCCACCTCCACTCCCTACCTTCCTCCCCCTCTCCCCCCCCTCCCCGAAAACTTGTTTCTGTTCTTTAGCCCGACGCAGATTCGGTGCAGATTCGACGCGGAATTGGCGCGGGTTCGATGCGGATTCGGCGTGGATGTGACGCGGATTTGATGAGTCCGGCATGGATGCGACACGGATTCGACACGACTTGGGGTGCGACGGAACAGATAAGGTCCCCCGAAGGTGCAGCATGACTCTGAATTGTTGGTCCTCGCCCCTTCCCCCCACCACAACCACACCTGCGGCCACGCCCCCCCCTCCCCATCCCCACCCACCCCCGCAACAGCTAATCACCGAGCGCGCTCCACTACTCGCAAAGTGCCTACTCGCAAACGTCCCGGCCATTTGCGAGTAGTTACTTTGCGAGTAGTGGAGCGCGTTTGTCCAGCTAAGGGGCAACGTCCCCCCCCCGCTGCGCCTCTCCTAGAGCCTCACCTACACGCCCCCCCCCTCCCGCGACGGCTGGCGGGCCACGCCCCCCCGCCCCTCCGCTGCGGCTCACCAGAGCCGCGCCCCAGCGCGCCCTGCAGGAGGCAGTGCTTCGCCAGGCTCTGACAACATTACTCGCATGTATCAAGCAGTGGCGAAGCGTCCCGGCTTGCGTATAGCCCTACCAAACAATGTTCTAAGAGCCTGTTGTGGCTTCCGCGAAATGTTCCTAGAACATTTCTGGTTGGGACTGTTCTTGTTAGAACACATCGGGCTTGTGTTCTAAGAACATTTTTCTGTTCTTCGAACATTTTTTGGGGGTTCTCAGAACACTTCGTGGCAGGACTATAGGAATACCGGGACGGTCGGTCCCTGCTCAAATGTAGGAGGAGGGAGCGGGGGCTTGGCGAGGCCTTGACGGAACTCTGGACTTCGTGTACACCGAAGCTGAGTTTCACACACCGCTTCGGCCCAGCGTCGTCTCATAGGGCAGCCAGGGAGGGGATGGATGGGGTGGTGTGGGGCGGCGGGGGGGGGGGGTGGGGGGGGGGGGGGGGGGGGGGGGGGGGGCAAAATCCCATGCATGTCCGCGCACTCGAACTCTATGAAAACATGTGCGGTCGCGAATCGTGGGAGCCTTGTATATCCTCGCAATTCCATCTCTAGAGTGGGCTAGAATCGACAGCGTCTGGTAATCGATGAGGCAGCGCAGGTTCGGCGTCGATTGGCGTCGATTGGGGGCTCCCGTCAGTTGGCCCCCCTGAAGCAAAAGTTCGCTGCAGCGTCTCCGCCCGCGCCAGCGGCCCCGCCCGGAGGTGCCCGGGCGCGCCCGCGCCCGAGGCGCGCGCCGCCGCGCTGAGGGGGCCCGCGGCGGGAGCGGGCGCCCCTGCGCCCCGCGAGGGCGAGGGGCCCTGGGCGTGGCCGTGCCAGGAGCCCGTCCGTCGTCGTCGCTGTCGGGGCCGGTCGTCGTCCTTGGTCGTCCTTGGTCTTCGTCCTCTTCTTCGCCGTCCTTGTCGTCGTCGTCCTGGTCCTCGTCCTCGTCAACCTCGTCCTCGTCGTCCTCGTCCCCGTCGTCGTCGTGCCAGACATTGGATGGAGGGGGAGGGGGAGGAGGCGGAGGAGGAGGAGTTGAGTTGAGTCGACTCCAGTCTTCCCGCTTTCACGAGGGTGGGCCCAGGAAGGGCGCGAGGGAGCGATCGGGTGTCAGGCTCACCGCGGGTGGGCTGGCCTGCTTCGGGGTCAGGGCGGCTGGGCGCAGAGGCGCTCGGGAGACGGCTGGGCGGTGCAGCTCGCGTCTCTCCGTGGAATCGGTCGCCCCGAGGTGGGGAGATGTAGATGCCGAGGAGCTGGAGAGGAGGAGGGGGAGAGGGAGGAGGACGAGGGGAGAGGAGCAGGAGCGGGGGGAGACCAAGGGGACGGAAGCAGAGATGAGCAGGAGGAGGAGAAGGTGGTGGACCACGTGCAGACGGGGGGTAGGGGGGAGGGGGGACGGTTTCTTAGGAGGAGACTGCTGCTTAGAAGACGCGGGCCTTCTCTCGATGTAGATGTAAAGCCGGCGCCTCCTAAGAAGCGGCCTCTTTCTAAGAAGCTTTCCCCCTCCCCCTATACCCTAGTGCGCGCTGCCAAGAAGGATCATAGTTGTTTCAATGCGGGAATGCTTCCTCAAATTGGCTACCATGGCCCGACATCGTGACTGGGATGATCAAGAGGTGATCCCATACGAAGAACAAACAGGGAAGGTGTCGGGACCTCTGGGGCCCGCGCAGGAACAGATCACATGGCCGGATGTTCTGGGAGGAGGTCCAGGATTGGCAGTGGTTGTTTTCTCTGGCGTGTTCCTTCCTCTGCTGGCCTTCTCGAGGCTGCTCGTCGCCACGGCCGCCTCGAAGAGTAAGCCACGCTGGACCGCGGGAGAGGGCTGGGGTTCTGATGTTCCAGCCTACTTTAGCCTTGACCACCAGAGAGAATTTCGAGCACCCAAAACAGTACACAAAAACTCGAGGGTGTTCACGTGTCGGGCCCTGGGAGACACTCGCCCGACACTGGTTCGACACTTCTGGGGGTGCTCGAAATTATTTCTGGGATGTGGTCCTCAAGTAAGACGGCAGCAACAGAAGGCTAGGGGCCACTTTTGAGTGGGCTTCGGGCCAGGCGGGCGAGCCGCCGCTGTCTCGTCGGGCCCTTCCTCCGAGAGAAACCACCCGGGCGGGCGCAACCCGGGCCCGAGGCGGGCCCAAAATCTTCTTTCGCATCGGTCGGACCTGTGGACTTGTGTTGGGCGAGGCCAGCGTTAAGTCGGGCCTGTCCCTCTACAGGGGGAATGTTCAAACATAGTAAAAAAATAGTCAGGGGACGATGTTCTGATTCTTCTTTTGACCAGTTGGGGCTATTTTGTGACCATTTGTTTTTCGTCCAAATTCCCCTGTAGGGGGACATGCCCGACCTAAGGCCAGCGCCAGAACAGGGGGCCGCCTCTGGAAGGCCCGGGTGCACTCTCTGAGCCCGGGGCGGCACCCCTGGGCAGCACCCTAAGGAAGGGTCGGCCGCGCGCAGACGGGGGTAGGGTCAAGGTCGGGCATGTCCCTCCGCAGGAGGAATATTCAATAATAATAGAGAGTAGTGGGGTGACGATTTTTCGTGCTCTTTTGACATTTTGTTGTGTTTTTGACTATCCTATTGTAGTGGCCTCCGGCCAGTGCCGCCGATCCAGGGCGCTCATGATGATGATGATGATGATGATGATGATGATGATGATGATGTTGATGTTGATGATGATGATGATGATGATGCAGATGTTGATGATGATGATGATGATGATCATGATGATGATGATGATGATGATGATGATGATGATGATGATGATGATGATGATGATGATGATGATGATGATGTTGATGACGATGATGATGATGATGATGATGATGATGGTGATGTGACGATGGTGATGGTGATGGTGATGGAGATGGTGATGATCCCTCCCCCCCAACCCCGCTCCTCTCTCCTGTCCACCCCCCTTTCTCCTGTCCCCTCCCCCCCCCTCTCTCCTTTCCCCTGCCCCTCCCCCCTCTCTCCTGTCCCCCTCCCCTCTCTCCTGTCCCCCCCACCCCTCCCCTGTCCCCCTCCCTCTCTTCCTTATCCCTCGCCCCCTCTTCTCTCTGTCCCCCCCCCCTCTCCTTTCCCCCCCCCCACCCCTCACTCCTGTCCCCCCCTTCCTCTCCTCCTTTCCCCCCTCCCCTCTCTCCTGTCCCCCCTCCCCCCCCTCTCTCCTGTCCCCCCCCCCCTCTCCCCCCCTCTCTCTCCTGTCCCACCCTTCCCCACCATCCTTTCTCCGGCCCCCCCACCTCTCTCCTGTCCTCCCCCCTCTCTCGTTTCCCCTCCCCTCCCCCCCCTCTCTCTTGTCCAGGGCGCAGTGCAGGGGGGGGGGAGCTGGGGGAAAGAGAAGGTGCAGAGGCGGGGGAGGGTTGCAGGTAGGGGGGGGGGAGGGCGGAGAGGAGATTGCAGGGGAAGGGGGGGGGGGTGCAGGAAGAGAGGGGGGGGGCGCCGGAGAGGAAGGTGCAGGGGGGGGGTCCCGGCATTGGGGAGGCCTTACGTGTCAATTCTTTCGTCGTTTGCGTCCCCCCCCCCTTGCAGAGCGATACTTGAGCGAGCTCAAGCCCACGCTCTCAGAAACTCACACGCCGGATCGGCGGATGTCTCTTCCAACATCCGCCTGTAGGAGAACATGCCCGGCCTACGGGCAGGGGGGAGGGGGGAAGCCTTCTTAGAAGGAGGCTGCTTCTTAGAAGGCGCGGGCCTTCTCTCTATGTAGATGTAAGGCCGGCGCCTTCTAAGAAGCGGCCTTCTTCTGAGAAGCCTTCCCCCCTCCCCCCTATCTCCTTGTGCTCGCCGCCAACTCCCGAAATAGGGTCGAGGAGTTTTCTCCGGTGAGGGCTCAGGCCCAGTGTTCTCCTTGAAAGGGCGGGCCCTTGGCCTCAGACAGGAGGGGCGTCGAGCAGGTGAATTTGGATCTGGGCATGCAGAACTGCGTGTGCGGATAGAGCGGTCTTCTGCGTCAGAGGGGCCACAGGTGGATGGCGAACATGTGGTCGTCGGACATGTTGCGCATAAGACTACGTGCTCGGAAGGGGTGTCCAATATGCGTCTGGAGCGCGCGCCCACCTTTAGAGCACTCGGCACGTGCGTTCTCGTTTCCAGGCGCCCAGGGGGAGGTCGAACCCGCGGTCGTCGGATTCGTCACACGTGCAAGTGCGTGCACGGAAAATATCGAAGATGCTGATTGCATTCTTGACGCTTCGCGTATCCCCACCAGCCCATCCAGTAACGATGCCCAGGCGAATGGAGGTGATCAGGGAAGTGAGGGAGCATACAGAGTAACAAAGGGCTGGGGAACCCGTCTTACCCAAGACGGCGAGGATGGAGGAGGAATCGGAGGAGGATGAGGAGGGGGAGGAACTGAAGGAGGAGGAGGGGGAGCGGGAGGAGGGAGGAGGGAGAAGGAGCAATAGGCGGATGAGGAGGAGGAGGAGGAGCAGGACGAGAATGAGGAGGATGAAGAGAAGGGCGAGCAGAATGGCCAGAGGCCTCTTGGATGCCTCTCGGAGTCTCTTCGGATGTCTCTTGGGAGCGTCCTGAAGGCCTCTTAGGGCGTTTGTGGAGCGTCTTGGCGGTCCCGGAGGCCTCTTAGGGCGTCTTGGGTGCCTCGGGGAGCCTCTTGGGGGCTCGCCGCTGCGGCGGCGGTGGTGGCGGCGTGGGGCTCCCCGGCAGGCCCCGGCGGCGGCCTGGGCGGCGACCCCGGCGGCGGCCCCGGCGACGGCGGCCCGGCGGGCGACCCGGGCGGCGGCCCCGGCGGCGGCCCTGGTGACGACGCGCCTCTTCCTTGACTTTTCCTTCTCAGCAGCCAAGACACAGGCATCTTGCTGCTGTGCATTCTGTATGCGTGTGTGTGTGTGGGCCTCCTGGGCGCCTCTTGGGGCCATCTTGGAGGCGATCGATCAAAGAAGAGGGTGGGGTTAATTAGCCCCGCCCCTCTAGATCCTCTAAAATCGCCACTTGGGCTCATCTTGAGGCGCTCTTCTTGGAGCGCTCTTGGGCGCTCGTGGGGCCGTCTTGAGGCTCTCTTGGGCCCCTGTTGGGGCTATCTTGGGCCGTCTTGGAGCCATCTGATGGCCTCGGAATGCCATCGGAAGCGAAAAGGCGAGAAAACAACATTCATTGGTTTTCCTTAAGTTTTTGAAGGATTTTGGCCTCTTGGGGGGTCTCCTTGGAAGTCTCGGAGGCCTCTTGGAGTCGCCTTGGTGCGATCTTGGGTCCTCTTGGAGCATCTGGCATCGGAAGCGAAAAGGCGAGAAAACAAAAGTCACTGGTTTTCCTTAGGTTTTTGAAGGATTTTGGCCTCTTGGGGGGTCTCCTTGGAAGTCTCGGAGGCCTCTTGGAGTCGTCTTGGTGCGATCTTGGGGCCTCTTGGAGCATCTGGGGAGCCATCTTGAGGCATCTTGGGCTATCTCGAGGCATCTTGGAGGTCATCTTGGCCTCTCCGAGGCCCTTTTGGAGCCGTCTTGGGCCATCGGACGCTCCAACGCGTCGCGGAACCCCCCGTCCAGGTCCAGGGGAGAGGGTTCGGGGGAAGGGGTAAACCCCTCCCCGAAGGGGAAGGAGGGAAGATGGAAGAGGAAATTCCCTAAACCACCTACGCCCGAAGGGCTGGTGGGAATGTTGGCACGTGTTGTCACGTGTCCAGGCCCCCAGAAGGGATATCGAACATGCGGTCGTCGCATTCTTCACACGTGCAAGAAATGCGTGTGCCGAGGGGGGGTCCAATATGCGGCTGGCGCGTGCGCATTTGTCACGGGTTTTGCCGAGGTCCTCAGTGGATGTAGGGCATACGGTCGTTGGAGTCTTCGTCCGTAAAAGTACGTGCGTGGAAGAAGGTGACCATTCGATTGGGGTGTGAGCATTTGGCATGTGTCTTCGCACGTCCAGAATCCCAGGCGGATATCGAACATGCGATCGTCGGCTCGCACATAAAATACGTGCGCTCACTGGGCCCCATGCGTCCCTACACTGATGCGTTTGGCACATTTGTTCTGCGCCAGAGGGCCAGAGGTGGGAGGTGTCATACACAACTCGCCGTTCGTCCTACACGACCGACTTCAGCACGCCGCGCAGCAAAGCCCAGCGTAGAATGTAGTTGATCACTATAGCGTGCCATTGCGGGCGACGTGTCCGAGCAATGTCTGACTCAACATCCTTACCAGGTTCGTGGACCCTTTAAATCCCTCCAGCGTTCTTCGCATAGATGGTCGCACGTTGTTTCGCTATTTTTCCAAAGCCTTCTCCCCTTTCTGGGAAGAGGGTCCCCCCCACCCTCCTCTCCCCCTCATTTGTTCCCAGCCATCCTGTGGTGTTGGGTCCTCGTTTTGAAACGAGGGTCCCCGCGTTCCCTCCCTCCTTCTTTCCTTCCTTCCTTCCTTCCTTCCTTCCTCCTCCCTCGGCCTCCTCCCGCTCCTCCTTCATTTCGTGGCCCCATAGGGAGCTCCACCGAAGGCCCCAGTGGGACCGCCCGCGTACCACCCAGCACAGCATTTAGTGGCCCCATAGAGGGCTCCACCGAAGGCCCCAGTGGGACCTCCCGCATGCGTCATCCACCACCCAACGCAGCATGTCGTGGCCCCACAGGGAACCACACCGAAGGCCCCAGTGGGACCGCCCGCATGCGCCATCCACCACCCAGTACAGCGTTTTCGTGTCCCCGTAGGGTTCCACCGAAAACCTCAGTGGGACCGCCCGCATGCGTCATCCACCACCCAGCACAACGTTTCGTGGCCCCATATGGGGGCTCCACCGAAGGCCCCACTGTGACCGCCCGCGTGCGTCATCCACCACCCATCATCCACCTAATGTCTCCGTGGCGGAAGTCGCGTGGCGGCCCAGTGGCGGACTTCGCATGGCGGCGACTTTCGATTTCTGGAGGTTATCCGTCGTATTCGGCGTATTGCGGCCGCTTTCGGGCCGCGCATCGTGGGCGTGAGCCAGCCTGCTCGCTCTCTCTGCTCCGCGCAGCGGACGACCCGCGCGCGTCGCCGGGACCCCTTTCGGGGCGACCAGCGCATGTCGCGGGGTTTCCGTGCGGCGCCGCGCCCGCAGCCTTAGACGTGGGCGTGCACGGGCAAAGAGGGAAAAAAATAACGGGAAGGAAGCGGGCGCGGTCCTCGTGAGAGGCGCGCCGACATGGGCGTCAACATTAACGCACGTAAACCTCACCCGCGCGCAGACTCATCTACAATCAGACTCACTCGCTGTCAGTCTCTCGCACACAGACCTATCGTTTTCGCTCGCGTTGTGTGCCCCGCCACGCATGTCGGCACGCCCCTCGCGCGGTTCGTGGCCCCATAGGGAGCGCGGGCGAAGATGGCATGCATAAGTGCGGTATTCACAGCTGCATATGGCTGGGTCCGCCGCCAGGATAATTTTGTGTCCCGAGCGGAGGTGTAGAGTGCCCAAGCTTGTCCAAAATCGTTCCACTTGGGCCATCGGTGTTTGACGGCTCATCATAGCCGAAGATCGTTCAATATTGCTTCCAACGTAATTACCCCTGGGCGGCCCCAGCGGGCATGGGATAGTTCATCATTCGCGCTTTCTTGTGCGATGATACCCCGTGTTAGTCGCGCGGCGGCGATGGGTGCCAACGAGCAGACCACCCTTCGGAATTCTAAACATCCGCGTGGGCCTGGCCCCTCCGCATCTCAGAGCTGCTTGAGGACTGGGGTTTCTTTGGGGCCGGTCCTTTCCAGGAGTAAAGTAAAGACGTAAATTTTCATACATGATTCACGCACATGCCGTGAACATACATGAATGATTTATGACGAATCCACGTTGGTATCGTGAGTACGCACTGCGCGAACGTTCGTACCATTCGGCTGGTCTCGCGGATTGAGGGCCCGTTGTCATGCACGTGGCTGGGCGCGCGCGCCTTCTGTAGGCTCCCTGCTCCAACGGGCCCTCCTGCCTTCGCGGAGGGCTGCTTCCCCCCGTGGCCCATAGCCGGGTCTTCTTCCGGCGCCGCCGCCGACCGGCCAGCGTGGGGACCGAGTTGTTGGAGACCGTTGCTCCTCCCCCCCGCCTCTCTGGTCCGCTTCCCGGCCTTTCCCGTTCATCCTCGCCACCTTTTGTCTTCCCCCGTCCTTTCTTTGCTTTGCCAGCTTCCTCCGCCGCTGCATCCTGCACCAGCTCGTCTCGCACCTCTCCCTCTCTCTCTCTGTTTCTCTCTCTCTCTCACTCTCCTGCTCCTCCATCCCACGCTCCCGCCCGTCGGTTGCACCACTTGGTCTGCCTGGTGGTCTCCCGCCCCTCCATCTCAGGTCAATCCTCCCTCCTCTGCTCCTGTCCCTCTTTCTCTTGTCCCTAATCCTCTCCCTTCCGCTCCTCACCCTCTTCCGGCCCTTCGCATCTCTCTCATCTTCTTCCTCCTTCCTCCCTCCTTCCCCATCCCTCCATCCGTCCCCCCCCTTCCCTCACACCTCATTCATTTATCCCTCCCACTCCCCCCGCCTTTCCTTTGCCTCCTCCCTTGCTCCTCTCCATGTCCCCTCCTTTCCGCCCCCCCCCCCCTCTCGAAGGAACAGCAGGGCAAGAACCTGTCCAGTTGCCTCCAGATCGCGTCCGCCGAGGACCCGTCCTGCCTCCTGGTCATCCCCCCCAGGGGCAGCCCAGGGCCGCCCAGACGGCCGCGCTCGGTGTCGCCGCCGCCTCCCTCCAGCGGAGATGTGGAGGGAGGAGGATAAGGAGCGGGAGGGAGGGCGGGTAGGTGGGCAGATTCGAGGATCGGCGCGAGAAGGGGAGGAAGAGACGGAGGGAGGAGGGACGATATGGAGTGAGTGAGGGAGGGAGGGGGGGAGGAGGAAGACGGTGGAGGAGGAGGAGGAGGAGGAAAACGGAGGAGGAAGACGGAGGAGGAGGAGGAGGAGGAGGAGGAGGAG